AACATCAAGCCCTCGTGCCCAAACATCTGTTGTGATGAGGACCCGAGAATTGCCACTGCGAAACTCTTGGGTGATAGCTTCTCTCTCCTTCTGGGGCATGTCTCCATGCATTGAAGACACTGTAAAGTTATTACTCCGCAGCTTCTCTGTGAGCCAGTCCACCTTTCGCTTTGTGTTGCAGAAAATAACAGCTTGTGTAATTGTAAGAGTATCATAGAGATCACATAGCGTATCAAACTTCCACTCTTCTCTTTCAACGGAGACGAAAAATTGCTTGATTCCCTGTGCATATCATCAGAAATACAAATTATTAATTCAATTTTACGCCAAATTTGACATTATCACATTCAAATTATTTGCTTAAGTTGTGCGTATTAGTTACCTCCAAAGTCAACTCATCACGTTTGACAAGGATCCTTACAGGTTCAGTCATAAACTTGTTGGTCATCTCCAAGATTTCACGAGGAAGTGTAGCAGAAATTAAGCAAACCTGCAAAAATATATTACAACTGAATTCAGACAAACATACTACTAGCTTTGAACAAGACTTGAGAACATGCTAAAGAAAAAACCTTAACTGAATTTATATTTCAAGTATGGCCCAATAAAGTTGAGAGTGTTGTCAAAAGAATTATTGTTAATAAAAATATGAAATAATTTTGCTTTCCACTATACTTTCTGCTTTATTAAGTCAGTCTTCGTGCACAGTTGAGTTGAGTCTTCGTGCTAGAGACCCGACCGTACTGGTTGGAAACAGGCCCTCTTGGCTTAATGATTGCCCTGGTTTGAGCAGTGATAATTCTGCTTAACCTAGCTTTGGCTAAAAAGATGAAATAATTCTGCTTTGTTAAAGTTGAGCAGATCTCTCTTAAAAGCAGGTGGGACGTTGATCTTGTCCTTTCCAGGCTCATTTGCATTCATCTTTTCTGATTGGTTTTTTAAAAAAAAGTAACAGTAAGCGGACACGAGGCGACCTAAGCTTCCTTGACGTGTTCAGGTTTGGTTTTAGGGTTCATATTTAGATTAGAAGAAAATTTTATGAGACAAAGATGACTTGATACACATAAGAGATCAATCGAAGAGAAGGAAAACCTGGAGGTCAGGTGGAAGATATCGGTAGACATCATAAATCTGATCCTTGAATACTGTACTTAACATCTCATCAGACTCGTCCTGAAAAGCCAAATCAAACCAAGGTTAAGAAAATTAAGAAACTAAAACATAAAGGGAAATTAATTAAGAAAGAAGAAGAGACGGAGTGAGAAACTTACGAGAACTAATAATTTAATGGCTCGAGTGCTTAGAGTTCTCCTCTTGATCATGTCAAAGACTCTACCCGGAGTTCCACAAACCACATGAACTCCATTATCAAGCTTTCGGATATCCTCACCCACACTTTTGCCTCCAACGCAAGCATGCACTTGTATGTTTATGAAGTTTCCAACTGCTAAGATCACCTTCTCAGTCTGTAACGCCAATTCCCTCGTAGGGCACAATATCAACGCCTGAACCTCTCTGCAGGAGGTGTCCACCATCTGGCAAACGCTGAGGGCAATCATGGAGGTCTTGCCGGTACCCGACTGCGCCTGCGCTATCACATCGTGGCCGTCGATGATGTGCCTCACCGCCCGCTGCTGGATGGCGGAGGGCGTCTCCTTGACGGATTGTAGGGTTGAGAGTGTATTGGTTATTGGTGAAGGGTTTTGCTTTGAGTCTCAGGCTTGCTTTGATATGCGCGCTTAAATAGAAAATAATAAAATATGCGCGCTTAAATAGAAAATAATAAAACCCAATCAAGGAAGGATGTGTAGATTAGAACCTAATGATTACTCAAAACCTAAAAGTAAAAACTAAAACCATTTATTTAGTTGTTTATTTATTTATTTGAACCTAGACACCACGTCATATTTTGCCTGAAACATGTACTTCGTTTTAACCGACCCCAAATCTGTCATAGACCCTTTCAAGCCTGAAACATGTTCTCCGTTTTCTCCAAAAAGCGTGTTTTGCTGTCTTTTACTTCTTTAATTT